TATCCCGGTTATCCTTGCGTGTATAGCTGGGCCTGTGGTTTTATTTTGAAAATTGTACATGAAAATTAAAAATGCCAGACTAAAACAGGTCAAAACATTTCTTGTCCAATGTCAATAATTGATATATTTTGAATCTCTAAGAATCTATTTTACTGGGCTGGAAAAGAGATATTACCAAGAACTTTTTCTGGTCATAACCTAGTGACTTAGATTCTTAAGAAGAAATCTAGAGAATACAGATGGAGAATGAATGAAACCTTCCTTGTTAGACTATGAACCAATGGTTAAGGTTTATAAAGGGCAAATAAATGATTTTTTTAAAAAAAAAATTAAATTAAATTTCTGAAGTGTAACAATGTTTTAAACTTTGCATTTGTGTAATGTGTATGTATGGGAGGTAATCTGGTTGGTGTGCAAAGTTTTTCTTTCTCTTTTGATTTTAATTAAGGAAGCCCAGGTGGTAACTCAACATAGCAAACATATTTTCCTAACCTTTATTGTACCTCATTAGAATTCTCTCTTTTAAAAGGATTTCTAATTATATTGTCTAATAAAACTAAACCTTAGAGATCATTTGCATATTATATGAAGAAATCTCATACAATAAACTCACAGTGGATTCAATTAACATAATAGCTAATTATATATCCCATCAGCCTTTTGAGTGGTTCAGCATTCATGTTTCTCCTGCACTAGCCTAAAGCAAATGGGGGAGTGTGTGAACAATTGAGTTTTCATTTTTAAATACTGACCCTTAATAAATGTTGAAAATTGGAATATTGTTCCCAATGACAAAGCTCGTGATTTTTTTTTTCTGCATGGAAGAGTCCAAAGAGATGCATACATCTATTCATTTCTGTATGGATCTACTTCTAGTTGTGCATATTTATGGATGATTGTAGAGATATACACACACAAGCAGGCATAAAACAGATATAGTGAAACCTGAGGAAATTCTAATATGGAAAGTAGTGTTCAGAAATATTAGATTGGCTATCTGGGTTTTGGAAGCTGTCCGTCTGTACCAGTTATGTTTTTATTTATCTTTCCACATCCCAATTGTATTCTTGGCGAGTTGCATTTTCTATCAAAGCAGAAATTTACAATGAAATTAGCAGAGACATAGTAATGAACTGGATCATGAGCTTCCATGTAATTGTCTGTTATGAAGGTGTCATTGTTGCTTGTAATGAATTTTCCATCCTGGGGCTTAAAATTGGCTAAAATATCTTGGAGTTGTGGTGTGTCTCCAGTCTTCCTCACACGCGAAGGTGCGTTGTTGTTAACTTCCCCCCCCCTCTTCTTTTAGATTTTGCGATATTGGAAAGACTGTCTAAGCGCTGGTTTGAGAGTCTTTTTTTTTTTTAACCCCTTCAGCATGCTCTGAAATGTTTGGCAACACAAGTGATTTCCTTGAAAATGTTTAGGCTTAATCCACTCCGCTGCTAACATCGCGACAAACATCCAGCTAGAGAAATGGAGGGGGTTTTGTTTTGGTTTTTTTTTTTTTTTTTTCCATGGGGTGGGTGTTGTTCCATGTTGCTCTGTTGTGGTTGTTTGAAATGATGGCAAAATTTGATGCAGAATAAGATGCCTTTCTTTCTTTTGAATGACGGCTGACTTGTTATTCATATTTTAATGAGGTTACAATCTCTGAGGCAGCTTTTTCAGGGCGGAGGCCCCACATCTCCAGGGTGATTACAATAGGAGCTGTCTATTGACAAGTACCATTCAGAATCTTTAGGGCTTTCATAGAATTGCTTTTGGTTTCTGCCCCTTGTCCAATTCCCCCCCACCCACCCCATTTTATTATTAAAGCAATTTTGAAGTATACTTAACTTTGGGAGGGGTGGTTTTGCACGGGTGGTTATTTGATATATCTTTCTCAAAACTCTATGCAAGTGGAAATATAAATTGTGGTAACCCCCTTAACTTGGGAACCAAGAAAATTATACAAAAGCAAGAATGCTATTGCCTGTTTTGAATTGGTATAAGAACCTCATCTATTAAAGTGTGCATGAATTTTGGTGAGGGTATAATTTGGCCTGCTGCATCTCCTTGTACGCAAAACTCTGCTAACAGAGACTTTACTTTTCTTAGCAGTTTTGTAAAACAAGAAAACCATCTGTATGTCTTGTGTTAAATTTAGTTATGGGAGAAGAGAAGAAATATTGGGACTTTATTTGTTGTAGCTACTTTGTTAAGTATAAAAATAGGTTATTGAAAATGGCCATGAAAGCAAGCAAGTCCCTCAGAAATATATTGGGGTGTGCAGTGTATACCTCTTCTTTCTACATGCCTGCATAAATTATTCTGTACATATTTTATATCTGTATAGGATCATTACCACCAAACTTTCTTTTGGAGGAGGAACTTCCTGTGTACATGTCAGACATGATACACTAAATCATTCACTGTTTCTTGAAGACTTTGTATATTCAGAAGCAGAGGCTAATACCTGCTTATTTTAAAGCAATACAAAGATTTTTAGGCTCAGATTGAAGTCTAGCCTTATATTCTGATTATCTTAATATATATCCAATTGTATGCTTTAAGCCTAAAGCAATTCTCAAATGTTTTTGTACTTTTTCTTTATGTTTGATACCTCACCATCTTTCATTTGGTTGGAGATCTCTCTCTCTCTCTCTCTCTCTCTCTGTGTGTGTGTGTGTGTGTGTGTGTCTCCAAAATATCTTCCTACTCCTCCCCCAAATCTTAGCTAAATACCCAATCTGCATTTTCAGAAAACACTGCAGATCTTTTTTGTTTAAAATAGTCTGAAAAACAGCACAATTTGAAATATGAAGCTATTCTGTTTAACAAGCCTCATCCTTCTATTTTAATTACCTATGGTTAGTACAAGTTCAATACTAGCAGGTCTACTTAGAAGTAGATCTTGTGTGCTTTCCACACCATCAGTATAAAGGAAGATATATTTAAGCATTGCAATAAATGGGCCTAAATATTATTAACCTTATTTATTTGCAGCAAAGACATTTAAGACCCTCATAGCTAAAGAACACCCAAGTATACTGTCGATGCAGCCTAGACGATACTTCCTAAACTTTCACTCTCACTACATTATTGTAGTAGATGCCTTTTAAGTCAAATCATTCATCTCAATGAGTTCAAGACAAACTTTGTAAAATAAAGAAGTGTTATCTGTTTAACTCACGAAGTATCACAAAGAAAAAAAAAGGCAAGCCTCTCTCTGCTTTTGTTTCAACTGGGTTCAAATGTGGAAAAATGTGGAAAAAAAAATAAGTCTCCATTGAAATTAGCAAGTTCTTCCAAATAATATCAGAGTACCTAGCTTTGCAATGCCTACTCCTAAAGGTAGAGAAAAGTTGTGCCAGGCTATACATTTCACCTAACGTTTTTGGAAACATGCTATGCAGTGTCTATATTATAGGTTTATTTTTTATTTTTTGAGATTTGAGAATGTGCACACACACACACAAACATACAAATATGTTCGTGTGCATGTCTGTGTTCATTTTTTAATTTATGATTTAGCCTTCAATACAGCACATGAAATCTATTTCTAAAACAAAAAAGAAGAAAGAAGAAAGGAAGGATGGAAACGTGGAAGGGACGTTTCCTACTAGCCATTTTCTTTTCTTTTTTTAATGTTGAGCTTTTCTGGTTCTTTCCTATTTCCATAAAAGTCTTAGGTTTCTAACTAGAAGGTAGGACAAGGCGAAAGGAGGGAAGTTTATTGTTAAAAAAAAAAAAAAGGCCTACTTCAAGAGATGGGGGGGTCAAAGAGAAGGGACTCTAAGCTTTAATTTTAATTCTCCTGCCTTTATTTCCCTGATTTGTGACCAGATGGTAGTGAAGGAAAGGACACCCTTTGTGTAAATGGAGCACACATATGAAAGTCCCTTCTGTAATGTAATCGTTGAGACCGGAAGGGTTCATACTGCGTGTGAAAAGAGACAATAGGGATGGGATATATCAACACTGAAGAAATCGAGTTCATTTGTGATTCAGGTTCTTTGACTCTGGTTGTCATGATAACTTCCTCCTTTGATCAGCAGAGGGTAAACAGGGGAAATCTTCTAAAGGCCCAAAGATGCAGATCTGCTGTTTACTGTGCACTTGGCTTCAATTCATGCCCTCTTCCGGAAGAAGCTCCAGAGATGGGCTCATCGTGCACCTTGACCTGTCTAGACGGGAGAGAAGGTTTTTTTTTGTCTCTGTTACCAAGAGCAAGGGGTGCTCTTTGACCCTTGTAGCATTGACTGCTGAGACCCTCGCTGAGTACGTAGGTACTGTGTGTCTAAATGTGGTCCCCTGAATTCTTGCTTAATTCTGAAGGAATAGGAAAAGACGAAGACATGGGCCAGCTGTTTGAAAAGAAAGCCTGAAATAGTAGATTCTGGGAGAAGTACAGTTTTGTAAGTGATTATTTTCTTTGCCCAAACCCTTGGGAGGAATTAAACAGCTGCAAGTGACTTGACGAACAGCAAGTCAGACTAACTGAAGGATGGATGTGTGTGTGTGTGTGTGTGTGTGTGTGTGTGTGTGTGTGTGGTGTGTGTTAGAGGGTAGGATGTTTGGAAACTTTGCTTTGGTAAAAGAAACCAAGCACATTCTAACAAGGAATCTATTAAGACTTCACTGAGACTTGAAAAACAAAGTTTCTCTCTTTATAGGTTGAGTTTTGAACATAAAATATACCACATAATTTTAAAAAATAAATAAACCCATCTTGCATTTAAAATCAGCTTACAATGGCATGTATATTTTCAGGCTAAAAAGAATATTTTATTAGCACTTTAAATGTTTAATTATTTCCAGACTCATCCTAGATTTAGCTGACATTTTTAATTATATATGTAATACGATATCAGACAATAATTATGTAGATACGGAGATCTGGAGGCATTGTTCTGTACTGTCAATCCGGGTTAAGGATTCTGTGTTTATATACGCCTGCAGGATTTTGCTTTGGTAAAATCTGAAAAACGTATGTTTCTGTAAATCTTTTTCTTTAGATTCCTTTTGCAAAGTCAGAGACCTTCTTAACAGACATTTTGGAAAATATATGCGATCGGATGAATGATTACAAACTTGAGGATGATCCTGTAACTAAGAAAAAGATATTCAAGAGATATGCTCCAAGGAAGGATGAGGAAATATATCCAATATATAAACAATATTTCTTTTATTCTGATGCTTATAAACCCTTGAAATATGCGGTAAGACAACAGAATGAACTAATGACTTTGGGGGATGAACTGTTTTCACCATCACCCTTGTGATACTGTAGATTAATTTGCTTCCTGAATCTACATTTAAGGCTTTTATAGTATTTGGGTATTTTTCAGGCCCTGAGTTAATTTGTCTTAAATAATAATAAATGGGACAGGGTGGGTTAAAGCAAGAGAAACACCATGGCATATAGATCTCAATATTCTTCAAAACAAGTATGCATGAGTAATGCCATTCTATTTTCCCTTTGGAATATCAAATATTTAAGTTGAAATCATTTTAATTAATAATTAAAACAATTCAGATTTAAATATTGCTAATTCAAATACTGATAGTTATTAAACTGGTGGAGAGTTTAGTTATTGTTTTTTCCCCACCCACTTTTCTTTCTTTGGACTTTGTTGAGGGAGCTAGAATGGAGATCTAGAGCAAAGTGACACAAGAGTGTCATTCTTGAGCTGGCCAATGCCTCAAACATCAACAAATGCTCATGAAAATAATATTTTCATCAAAGGCCTGTGAAAAAAGAAAGAAATCTGGAAATATATTTGCCTGCTCTTTCAAAATTAGACTTGTGGAAAAGAAAGGAAGTCTTCTTCTTTCAGAAGGATTTACTTCAAGATTCTATTAGGTTTGAAGCTCTTGTAGGGTATTTTAATGCCAGTTACATTCCTTGCCAAGGAAAGTTGCTTCCTTTAACCAAATTAACAACTGATCTTCAATGGTTACCACAATGATCAAATAAAGAATTTGGGCAAAGAATTTCCTGCAGGAATCTCATCAACTACTGATTGTGCTTTTGGTTTGATTCTAAAACCAAGAAGGTTATTTTAGGATCCTACAAGCTGTTTCGTAAAATTCTAAATAAATGTAAGAGAACATGTAAAAATATTTGAAATTTCATTTTTTTGAAGACAATTTTTTGCATTGCAAAATCCGTAGAGACTTATTTCATGTGCTGAAGCAGTATTTAATTAAGAATGCACATCACGTATGAGATTTGAACCTAAGAACTGGATTCTTGGGGCTGGGGGGATAATTTTATGGTAGAATTGGGTTCTTTTGTGATAAAAGTTGGTTTCCTGGTTATTTTTAAGGGCATCATATAGAATGTTTTCCCCTTGCTGGGATTCTCTGTAGATTTTGGGGAGAGGAGCTTATAGCCAATGCTTAAGGCCAAGAGACCAAATAAAGTTTTATTGGGAAGGAGCCCCAATGCTGACTAAGTCAGAAATAAAACTTGCATTATACAAAGTCATTGATGCTTTCTTCATTTTGAAAAATAAGTTATTATTTGGCGATATAGTGAAATAGTTTCTTTCCCCATATGCACATACTGTATATGTTTTATCCATCCGTCCATTTCAAACCATTAGCATCAATCCCTAGAACCGTTTCAACCAACTGTTTCACAAAATGAATAACCTGTATTAAGCGGAATCATTCATCATCCGCTTTCAGTAGATAGAATTTGAATGAGCCTTAATGAAATCTCAATATATTGTTAATGCTGTATACTGTTACAGGACAACCGATCAGGCAGGCACGCTGCCTCGGCAAAAGAACAACAACCCCAAATTGTCTCTCTTGACAAGATATCCTTTGGTTGCTCTGTGTAAATGGCCTTGTTTAGTTCTTTGCTGCTGTTTTTCCTCTTTACAGTGTGAAACTATCATAGAACAGTATGAAGATGAAATACTCTCAGTTATCACTCGGCAGTCACACTCTCTTGCTGACAAGCTGTGCATTGAAAAATCAGGTACTGTGTCTGATGTAACATGTGCTTCTTTCTCAACAGCAGTTCTCCCTCCACCCTTCTCCCTCCCCCACCCACCCTCAATCCATGTTGTATTGCTGGGATGCAGCAAAAACACTTTGGAAAGTAACATTTTCAAGATTGAAGGTGCGTGGGCATTGCCCTGCCAAGGAAAGTTGGTTAAAGAAAGAAGAAATATATTTGCCTATTCATCCAAAGGAAAACAAATCCAAAACAAGATTTGTTCTCTTTTGGGTATATAGGTAAATATATATCTTTTAGAAGGGTTTACTTCAGGGTCTGGAGTTCCAGTAGAGTATTTTAATGTTGGCTAAATTCCCTTCCTAAAAAAGTTGGTTCCTTTAACTAAATTAACATCTGATTTTCAACTATTATGAAGACTAATAAAATAAAAATAAAAATAGAATTTAAGCAATGGCATCCCTGCAAGAATCTCTTCATCTATTCATTTTGGCTTCAATTTCACGTAGTTGATTCTAAAACCAAGAAGTTTTAGGACTATCCAATCTCTTGTGTCAAATTCTAAATAAATATAAACATAAATGCTATGGATAGTTACTTGTATAAGACCACAAAATAAGCTGGATCTTAGCAGGAAATATACGTAGGATGAAGTTGCTAAACCATCACATCTGAATAACCAGATTGTAAAAATAGGTGACTGGATGTTTTTTTAAAAAACTGATATAGATAAATAATAAGATCTAATGTTAACACTAGTTAATAGGGCCAATTAGTGGTTAATAGAAGAATTCATAAGACTATGGGGGAGGAATTAATAATTACATGGTCTAAAAATTTGTAATTGTTAAAAAATCTATTGCAAATAAAAGATACATTATTTAAATTTCATCTATCACTCGGTCACAATATAATTGCTGTTCTAAATATAGTAGAAATAAATTATCCCACATGGTCACTTTTTAAACTCATGTACAGTTTGCCTTTTCCTTCTGAAGTTTTCAACCAATGTGAAAGTAAAGAGAAAAAGGTAGAAATAAGCAAGAAGAAAGAGAAGTATAGTATGAGTTAATTTCCTCCAGCATGTTAACCTCATTTTGAAATTTGCCTTTGTTTTAAGGCACCTTTTCTCCAATCTATATATTTTTCAGTTTCTTCTTTCTTCTTCTTCTACTTGACAAAGTAAGGTGTGCTATATTGGTTTCTTAGGATGCATTGTATGCACACTTATTCAGGTGGTAACCTTAAATAAATAGGATTCATTTAAAAATAAATAAATGTGATAGAATCAAGCTGAGTCTAGGTTGTGGTCTTTTCTGGTTAATAGTGAAAATAATGGGTCTTTTGGTCAGGTCAGTATCTGTCTGCCTGCCTGCCTGCCTATATGTCTATCATCTATCTGACTATAAATCATAACTTCAAGACAACTGCAGTATTCTCATTTTGATAGTGTGGCTCTCTGCAATTTAATAGTGTTTGAGAAGTTGGTGACCTTTGATCAGAAGCTATGGGACTTATTTCCCTCTAATAATATTTAGAGTTGTGAAGCTAGATTGCTCCTCTAAGCCAGTTTACATAATCTAACTCACTTTAGTGTGTTTAGGATTGTGACAAAATTCTGCAATGACTAGAAAGAAGGGCGAGAAAGGCTATCAGACCAACCAAAGCCATAAACACTTCTCATTGAAGAACTGAATAGAAATATTGAGGAGGAGGAGGAGGAGGAGGAAGAGGAGGAGGAGGAGGAGGAGATTGTCATGGTAGTTTGTTATTAATGCCTGCATAGGTTATTTACAAGAAACAAGAAAAACAAATGACAGGAAAGATCAGCACTTGAGTCTGACCCTGTAAAATCTCACAGGATTATAAATATGGCTGACATGCTAAAGTGAAAACTCAGAAAAGTAAAGTAAACAACCATACATTCTTTCTATTGCTTCAGTAAGTAGAAAGTTTTTAAAAGATCCTCTTCCAAATGCTGAAACACAGGGTTTTCAAAAAGAAAAGAAAAAGGGGAAACATACTCATTCCAATCCTACTCTTATAAAAATGTTCAGCTTTAGCAAAGCAAGCACTTGTGTTTCCTAGCTGATGTCTGCCTCAAGACTAGCAGAAAAATCACATTTTCCAGAAATTGCCCCATAAATGTAGGAAACAAAAGAGCCTAACAAAATGTAAGGAAACCCTGTGGGTGTTGAATGTGTCTTTCCCATCTGTACAAATCATATTATAGCTTTGATTATAAGCTTCTTCAATGCTATTAGTTATTTCCACCAGCTTATGGTTTGCAATGGACATACATAACATACCAATATGAAATTTCTGTGGGAAAAATATGACTTAGCTGAAATAGATAATTGTGTCAGTATGCATTTCTCTGCAACCCAAAAGGTAAACATTTCTCTGTGAAATGTTTTACAAGACACACTTTAGCGACTGACATATTTGTGCTAGTGTACAAGAAAGATGCCTTGCAAAGCATTTACTGATTTATGTACCTCTTTCATCAGAGGAGGGGGAAATGCAGAGCCTCGCTACCTTATTAAAAGCAATATATGATAAATCCTCTATGAATTTAATTCCTTATCCTGTAATCTGTCAAACTGAGGTAACCTTTAGAAAAATATGTTTCTTCCATGTTTACATGATGATTGCATCTGGTGTTTCATTAAAAAAAGCCAAAAACTCCTTCACAAGCTATGTTAAAAAGATGACGGTTGTTTTTTGTGTTTTGGGGTTGTTTTTTTTAATACAGACAACCATGGATCAGTTATCTGTCAAAAGATTTCTTTGATCTCACTTAAAATCTCTATATTCCTCTTTCTACCAGGAAGGAATCAAAAGAGCAAAACAGCCTTTATCTATTCTTTTTCACAGTTCTTACGAAGATATTTTTTCCTCCACTTAAAGGAATTGTTTCTCAAGTTAATAGACATTGTGGTCATTAGCTGGAAACTAAGATTTGCTGTAGGATCACTGACATTCATATAAATGATAACTCAGAATTTATTTTTGTGCCAGTGAAATCTACCTAAAGAAAATTGGAGGGACATTATTATTTTGTAATTATGCTGTTTACAAGCAATAGGATTAAGACATTGGTCAAGAATGTAGTATTCTTGGATTGGTATCAGTTCATTTGTTTCTACAACATAATAGACTGCCTTTATGTCCATCTGTCCGCAACCCATGATTATCATTAAGGTAATATAGAGGTTTCCATTATTCTAATCGGCTTCACGTGCTCATAACTCTGAAAAAATAATCTCTTTGGCTGAAATTTTTCATTCTCATCCCAAAGGTGAATTTATTTATGTATGTAGAAAGCTTAAGGAGAAGCCATTCATGCATTTTTAAATCTCACAAGGGTAGAAAAACGCTTCTATTTTTCTATAAAAACCTGATGTTTTTGCTTCCATTTTACTTGCTCAGTTTGGCACATCTATTATTGCTCCGAAAGTACTGCTTTCAGATTTCAGTGTTTTCTAGACAACTTGCTAAGACTATCCTTCGAAATGGGTTGCCAGCCCAAGACAGGACAACTGAGTCCTACACAATGCAACTCAGCGTTAATATACAAATGATGCTAACATTTTCACTGTATTCTAATAACATTCTCTGGGATTTGAAGATAAAGATGTACTCTCCGCTGATCTATTTTTAATGAGCCTTTACAGTTTCATAATTATCTTTTCTTCTCCCTCCTGCCCAGAAATTTCTAGTAAATACAGAGTTTTATTAATCTTCCCCTATGACGAGTTGTGTAAATTCAGACTTTCTAGGAATAAACGCAGCAGTCATCTGAGGACAATCTCTTTCCGATAGCCCTTTTAATTTTTTTCTTTGATGTCATTTTGTAACTCTGATTTTAGCTTTTTATTTATATCTCTTTGAGCTCTTTAAAAGAACACATAAGAAAAACCCAAGTATGTCACAATAGGGGGGAAACTGTTTATTCTGTTTTGCTAAGGTATCTGGAACATATTCCTGTCACCAAATAGTGAATCAGTTCAAGCTCAGGCTATTTATGTTATCAGAGATTAGATGCCAGTATGAACTCCGTTGATTCAGAAATAAGCAGCACAAAAAGGGGATTTATTTCCCAATAATTTGGTTAAAGGCTGGGCTGTGATTTTAGATAAATGGGTAGGAATCTTCTACAAAAAGCATTTAATATTTTTACACCAAAGTTCTTTGTTTATTAAATTAAAACAGCTTCTACAAAGCAAAATACTGAAAGGAAAATTGTATAAGAAAAATTGTATAAGAAAATTGTATAAATTTATAAAGAAAGAGCACAATCACATTAAATAGCGATTCAATCATCATATATTTGCTCTTTATCTTAATGCCAGCAATTTGCCCAAAATATGGACTTTTAGATACTGTTCACTTCAAAACAATTTTTTATCTTAACATACCTATAGTTATGTGTAAAGTTATATTTAAAAATCTGGTTGCTCTGTTTTAAAATACTATGCCTAATCAATGAATACATTGGACCAACCTTAAAATGAAAAAAAAAAAAAAAAAAAACCCTACTATATTATTAAAAACTCATCAATAACTCTCTGTTTCAAAATGTGCATCAGGATATGACTTACGATTTTTGAACAATGGTGAATAATCTATTGCACTATCATGATGAGGGATATCTGAAACTTGAATAAATATAAATATAAAATTGTGAGATAATCTAATTGTTTGATCTTCCATTCGTATCTAATTTTGCCCTCTCTTGATAGGTCTTTGTCAAGAAGATGAGATGCATAGTGAACTCTAAAAGGCAACAAACTTATTATTATTGTTGTTATTATTATTATCAGCATCTGGATGAAGAATATAAACTAAAATAATTCTATTCTTTACCTTCCATTAATCTTCATAACAAACCTTCATATAGACTGCTAAATTAACATGCCTGTTTGTCTTGTCTATTTCGGATATTGGACTATTTCGGATATTCGGATATTAGTGGGGAAAAGTCTGCAGCTTATGAAGCTGCTGTGTCAGTTGTACTCAAAACCCTGCACTTTTCATAGAAGAAACTGTTAATTATGAGTAAAATTGCCGTTTCAAATCTATGTGAGTTGTACTTTTCCAAAACCTGCTGATTTATTTTCTGTAGCTTTAGATCAATGCTAGGGCAGTTTTCTAAGCCAGAATGGGACAATTCACTGAAGCCAACTCTTTACGGCCAATTCACCATGGCCAACTCACCACAGATAACTCACTGCGAGACAACTTGGCATGGCCAACTCACCACAGGGCAATTTGCTGTGGGACAATTCAACAATTCAATTTAATTAGTTAAAATGGTTGTTTGGGGAAAAAATAATTTTTATTATTCACATTTCATTTTGTCCCTCCTTTGGTATCTTTTCTTTTATGATTCTATTGCTTTTTCCATTTTAGTGTAACACTTGTCCCACGGTGAGCTGTTCATGGCAAGTTGTTATAGAAAAATTGATGTGCCTTATATAAAATTGTTTTACTTAGGAGCAAAGGGTCCTCATCAGGTTTTATTACATCCTGGATTTGAGAAGAGAATGGGCAATGAAAATGGAGTAATTGGCCTGATTGGCTGATCTAACTGGACAATTCAACCAGTTCATATGGTATCTTCTTATGCCTTATGATTTTTTTTTTAAAATCATTTTGTAAGTAGGTAGCTTAGATGACTCTAGCGCCAATAAACCGTGTCTGATAGTTTGATTGGAAGGTATTACTAACTCAGGAATATAATTGTTTATTGTTTCTTACATTGTATAATAAAGTTTTCCTCATTTCAGTGATTGTGGCTTTCAATTCCTTTTCCCACTTTGCAGTAATTTCTTACTAATGCATGAGTATGTTTAACATTTCATACATACACTCAGCTATACTATTTCCCTTGGAAAATATATTTGAGTGATTTCCATTGTATATCGCAGTCTTCTTGAGTTACCATGAAAACTTCCACACAGTTATGAAAAAAACATATTTATTTAACATCACAATATGAACTTTCAATCTGTATTTTGAAAGAGGCAAAGCCATAGAGTCAACTTTCCATGGCAGCTGTTACACATTTTTATATTTACAAAATTTAGGCTGGCAGTGAGATTCTGAGGAACCTAGTGGACTTGTTTTGACGGTTAAAATGTTAAAAGTAAGGACATATATACAGGTAGTTCTCGACTTACAGACCACAACTTAGCCCAAAATTTCCATTGCTAAATGAGACAGTTTTTTAAGTGAGTTTTATCCCATTTTACAACCTGCCATAATTGCTCAATGAATTGCTGCAGTTGTTAAGTTAGTAATATGATTGTTAACTGAATCTGGCTTCTTCATTGATTTTGCTTGTCAAAGCTTGCAAAAGGGAATCAACATGATCCTATAACCATCATAAATACATGACAGAAGTCAAGCATCCAAATTGAGATCCCATGACCACAGGGATGCTGCAAAGATTGTAAGTGTGAAAAATGGCCCTACAGTAAGTCACTTTTCAATGCCATTGTAACTTCAGACATTAAGCAAATGATCGTAAGTCACAGACTACCTGCATTATGTCCAAGAACAAATTCTTTTAACATTACCTTGACTTATTCACATGAAGAATGATAAACTGTCCCCCTATAGAAACCCCACCCCCATTGATAGTTTAAAACTAGTATGTTTAAAGTCTGGATGATATTTTTGCTGTCTTAAAAAATATACATGGACTTGAAACTCAGTTCCACCAACTTCATCTTAATGTGGTAGCGCACATTTACAGCAATGAGTTCTAATTCTTATGGCTTTAATATCTAAATATGATATATTAAATTAGTGGGATATACTTCTGAATATGAAAAGTGATTTTCTATGCAAACAAAGACCTTCATTGCTCAATGAATTCAGAATTAATGGCTGTATAGTACAATCCTAATCAAATCTGTGCAATTTTCTTCTGAATATATCTGTTTGGACTGCAATGTTGATATAAATGTAGACATAAATACACGTTCATTGGCAATATTTTCTAATTTGTTATCCCATTAAATTTCTTTCTATTGTCTCCTTCAAGAGTTGACTTTTTTTTTTGTTAAAAAAGCATACATTTTTACCACAAAATACGGTTTTTCTTCTGTAGATTAATAAAGATGAATATTTCAGTCTGTTTGGGAACCTGAATTTTATCTTGAAATTTAGGCTTAGACAGCACCAAAATATGAAGAAGAAACAAAAAGGGTTTTCAGTTGGGTTCATTTAAACAAATAGGGTTGGAAGAAGGGGTGGGATTCTACCAGTTTGGAACAGTTCTATAGAACCGGTTGTTATGATTCTGCGAGGTTCAGAGAACCGGCAAATTGTGCCCCTGGCTGGCCCTCTCCGCCTGCCCCTCCCCTCCCTGCCCAGTCAGTCCTTATCACGCATGCATGACATCACGCACATGCCCGACACTGCATGCATACCCGACATCGCTGACTGCATTCTCCCCCGCCCAGTCACTCCTTAAGGTATTTTTTCCCATCCTGACAATCATCTGTTCCGATAATCAGTTGTGCCGGGATCCCCCTCGTTGTCTTATTGCTTCACCCAGGTCACTTCCATGAGGACCAGGAGGCAAAAGGGGGGGCGGTGGAGCTGTGTGCCTCCCCTGCGCTCCATTTTTTGCCTTCCTGGGCCCCAGGGATGCCTTCTGGGAGCAAAAACACCCCCCAGGAGGCTTCCCTGAGGCCCAGGAGGCAAAAAAAATGGGGGGGGGAATGCTGCAAAAAGAAAGAAGCCACGCCTACCCAGTCACATGGCCACGCCCACCTAGCCACTCCCACAGAACCGGTTGTTAAAAAATTTGAATCCCACCCCTGGTTGGAAATCTAGTCCCTACTTAATACAAAGAAAATTTAATGGAAAGTGTCAAATTGTTTGCTTCAGTTTTCATGGAATGCTATTGATTTTTAGGGTAATAATAACAAGTTACCCCAGATCATTCACTAGATATTTATCAGTGTGCTTGTGTAATACCTATGCTGTTCTGTTCCTGCAGCTTTCAGAGATATATTGTACATTTTTAAGGGAGGGGGGGATTAAACAGCATAGACTTCCAACCATTTAAACTCCAAAGCCATCCACAATAGGCCAACCAAATCTTAATGTCATCCATTGCTATAACCGATGTTTCAACAGTGCTGTGAAAGCTCATTAGAGAGACTGTATTCCAGGTTTATGAAAGCTCCTTTTCACAAAAAGTGAACCACAAAAGTCTACCTATGGAGTTGTCTACAAAGTACCCACAGATTGAATTCCTTTGGGGGAAAATGACCATCGGTCTTTTCTCCTGGATCGTATGGGATAAGAAGGTGGTGTTGGAGATATCCAGGCCTGCCTCCATAAGAACATCTAAATAGCAAGAGCGCTCAGACTTATATACTGCTTCACAGGATACAGCCCTCTCTAAGCGGTTTTTACAGAGTCAGTGTATTACCCCCCCAACAATCTGGCTTCTCATTTTACTGACCTCGGAAGGATGGAAGGCTGAATCAACCTCAGACTGGTTAGGATTGAACTCCAGGAATGAGCAATGGGTTAGCCTGCAATACTGCATTCTAAGCACTGCACCACCATCACGGCTGTAAACAATCAACTTCTGAGCCTATCACTTTGGTTTCATTCAGGAACTGCAAGTACTTTGAGGAAGTCCTAAATCACCTTTTCCCTGTAAACTACATTGTACATATCATGAAAAACCAAGGAAATAGCATGAAGGCAGGGGCATCTGAGGGAGGGGGTTGTTAAAACAGTCAGGAGAGCAGTTGGGCTATTACAGTCGAAGCCCCTTCCATTTTGTTACATCTCAATGCACTTCCTAAAAGGATGGAGCTTCAGTTTTCTGGTAACAGCTATCATCTTGAAGTATTTGATCCACCATCCTAGAGAGATGCCCTTGGATCAGTGGTGGTATTCAGCAGGTTCTGACCAGTACTGGAGAACCGGTAGAGGAAATTTTGAGTAGTTTGGAAAACCGGCAAATACCACCTCTGACTGGCCCTGCCCCCATCTATTCTCTGCCCCCCCCCGAGTCCCAGCTGATCGGCTGGGTCTTCTTTTGTTGCCTTGCACAGGAGAACAGAGCTGGAAAGCAGGTTAGTGGGGTGGGGAGGGAATGGAGATTTTGCAGTAATCTTCCCCTGCCATGCCCACCAAGCCACGCCCACAGAACTGGTAGTAATTTTTTTTGAATCCCACCACTGCCTTGGATGTAGGATTACATAAATCAAAGTAATAGAGTAGCTTATCCTAACCAAATATCCCTCTGTTATCCATCATTTGTGAACTTCCCAGCCAGCTTCCAACAAGCAGCCATTGGGGGAAGCCAGATTTGATTAATGAGTGCATGTTTCACTTAATAATTGCAGTGGTTTGTTTAACAACTGTGGCAAAAAGGTTGTAAAATGAAGCTAATTGTGACCGAAAGGTTGAAGACTACCTGTAAAAATGTTTGCGTGATTACTAACCACAACCTTACGTTTAGGACTTCAGTGCTCTGTTTTGCTTTGTTTATGTGTAAATGTTGGAGTTTGTGTGTGCCACCTGTTAATGAAAATCTAACCCTGGTTTTGCTTTCTTTATTGTGGCATCACAGGTGTTCATGTTGCCTTGAAATTAAGCCTGCTGTGATATCTCCATGCAGCTTTGATTGGAGTAGATGGCATCTCAACCTTGGCAACTTCAAGTTATGTGGGCTTCCAATCACAGTGCTGGCTGGGAAATTCTGGGAGTGAAAGTTTATTATTATTTTTATTGTCAGAGTACAACATGTGTACAATGAGATTGGCTGAGCCTCCCTTTGTGCACCCCTCTCCCCCAATAAAACTCACAGTGAGGACAGAAGTCCCTAAACCAATCCCAATCTTATTACACTACGTGACTTTGTTGTAGTCCACATAATTTTATAATGCCACGATTCAAAAACAGTAGAATAGAAGGTAAATTGGGACTTGTTTCAGATCATTTTTATTGTCCTTTTCAAGCATCATTAGATGACTTTCTTCAAGCCTTATAAATGATTACACTGATTCATTGGCAAATCAGAAGGTCAATCAAAGTAGTTCTGACTCAGCTTTGAGCCATATTATATTAAGAATTGAATAGGATGCTCCTTAATGTATCCATTTACAGTCTGGTTTGCTCAGGAGTAAGAAGGCTGGGATGCAGCCATATATCTTAAGTCTTAAATGTGTTTGCATCTTAGAGAAAGTTGTTTGCCTTTTGCTTGGCACGATTTGAATAGTCCAGACATTTTGGACCAATCTTGCTGGAAAATTGATTCCTAATGCTTATATCTTATAGTATTAGCTTATTGCATTTATAGCTTATTGCATTTCAATAAAATCCCTTATCCAGAGCTATCAAATCTGCACTAGAAAATCAAGATTATCATTAACAGGTACAGAAAGCTCTAACTTTCTGCTGCCATCTGGCTGTCATCTGGATTTTGCAGTCCAGAACTGGTAACTAAGTGAATCGTGCACAATTTTAAGATCTTCTTTTGCCACGGTTAAGAAAATTACTGGCGTTGTTAAGCAAATCATATGGTTGTTAAGCAAATACAGCTTTTCACATTGACTTTGCTTGTCGGAAGCGGGCTGGGAAGATCGCAAATGGCAATCAGAGACTCCAAGATGCTACAATTGCAATAAATATATACTGATTGCCAAGTGCCAAATTTTGTTCACACGATTATGGGGATGCTGTGCTGTTGTGGCTTTGAACAGTTACTAAATAAATGTTTGCAAGTTGAGAACTACCTGTACTTATAGCTTTTGCCTTTGGAAAGAATGTAAACCATGTCCAGAATAAGTCTGCAGCTGGCAGTGTTGAACACAGAAGAACAGAACAGAAGAGAACAGAATTCTTTATTGGCCAAGTGTGATTGGACACACAAGGAATTTGTCTCTTGTGCAAATGCTCTCAGTGTACATATAAAGAGCAAGTAATAGGTCATAGGTCATAAATCATAGTTACAATCATTAATCATCAGTTGCAAACAACAACTGAAAACAGTAGGAAAAGTCAGTAGGAAAGATGAGAAAAGGTGAGAAACGACTGTACTAATTTCCTTGTGACTAATAAAGAAAAAGTTAACAGGCCATAGTATTCTTCTGCCACGTTGCATTTTCCTTGATGGAAGAATGTGAAACTGAAAATGACAGAAATCCCCAGAGTGAAAAAGACAAGATGGCCGTCACAAGCACCATTTCTTTGATCTCAAACTCACATAAAATGCCGGAGTCTTGATTGCATCATCATGGCTGCCATTTTGACATTTTTATGACACTCCTGTCAATGTCTGATAAGGGCACCTCAGGCATTGCAATAAAAAGTTATGTTTCTTTTGTGTTAGTGTTTGTTTAGATAATGATTATATTAAATACGGGAACAAATAACGCATAAGTGGCAGCATCTGGCTGACCTCACACAGCTTGGAAGCTAACAGATCTGGCCTATAATTGCATTTCCAGGTAATCTTTGACATATGCCCGCAACTGGGATCAGAATTTCAATTGGTAAGGAAGCTGGCCATTAATTGAATCGCACCCAGTGATGGGATTTGAATAAGTTAACAACTGGTTCTCTGTCTGGGTAGGCGTGGCCGTTTGGTCATGTGACTGGGTGGGTGATGTCACACATCACACTCAGGCCTGCCTCCTGGCCACTTGCCTCAAAGGCAGAGTAGGATTCAGCCAGTTGGGGCTAATCCCACCACTGGCGGGCCCTCCCCTCACTTGTTTTTTGGCCATTTTTTGGCTGTTTTCAGGCTGTTTGGGGGGCCATTTCCAAGCCATTTTTCAAGCAGTTTTCAGGCCAAAATGGCCTGAAAAAGCCCAGAAAAACAGCATGTAAACGGTCTGGAAAACAGGCCAAAAAATAAGTGGAGGCGGGGCCAGCCAGTGGTGAGATTAGCCCCAACTGGCTGAAT